TCAGTACCACAGGCAGTACTTTATCTTGAGCTATTAAACTTCGTACTCCTGAACTCATTTCATCAGTTTTAGTTGTGTGAATACTTCAGTAGCTTGGATGCAACTACTCCAGAGACCAAGATTGGCAGCGTTTTGCGTGATAATGTCATGGCTCCCTTCCCAGCTAATGAAATGTGCTGTTACCAACAGTATAAGGCACTGCAATACTGCTAACATTATAAAACAGTAAATAAAAAATATTTTCTCTAACCGAAATTGTTTGACAAATTTGCTGTAGGCCACATGTAACTTCTCTACTAGAACCCTTCTGCAAGAAGTTATTTTAAGAAATTATTAATGGCTGTCCAACTTCAGCTTTTGTTTAGATGCTAGTATGAAAAACTTGTAGAAATGGTCTTTACAAAAGCACAAGGGAGTGAAGCCCTGATGGCATTCCAGAAATTCTTCTGAAAATTAATGGGAATAAGCTAACCCCCCAGGCAGGTATTAAAGCCTCTGACGCTCAGCCAGTTCTCCCACTTGCAGTCTCATGAATCACCCTGCTTTCCCATTTCCAACCACACAACTTCACTGTAAAATCTAAGGAAAAGAATTATTACAAAAACGTTCAAGTGTTTCTAGCAATGTTTAAGAGCAGTACATGCTATATCCTCTCCTCAAAATTGTATTTACTGCTCATTTTCTCCCTCCATTTCAGTCCCCCACTAAAAGCAACACCACCAGGATACTGCTGGAGATTTAAGATTAGTGGTAAGCAAGTAGTTCAGGTAACAGTAATTTTTATTCCATACTTAGGACTGGAGTATTGTTAAGTACAGAGATCAAATATGCCTGTGTGATGAGTACCTGCGAGAGAGAACAGCAGTGATCTCATTGTACCTGAGAAAAGAAAGAATTTCTCATGTCTCCCTTTAGGTAAGAAATTACAGACATCGCTGCTATGCTGGTTCATTCTTTTGTCACACAAAGAGCCCAAGCACTCTTCTGCTGAAACCCAAAACCCCGTGGAATTATTCTGTCCTGCCCCAATGTGATATACCTTTCTCACCCAAACCATATGAATACACCCTCCTCATCTCAAATACAAAGTATAAAATATTGAAAGCCAATTCTTAAAATAAATAAATATATAAATAAAAATTAAGGGGTTCAACCTTTTGCAAAACAGGCAAACTGAAGTGCCCAACTGCTCAGCTATGCTTTTAAGAACTTTGTGGGCACCTTGGTGGATATCCAAACAGGAAAATTAAAAACCTGAGGAGCTGGAGGGAGGAAATAGGTGGAGGACAAAAATAAGGCTAATGGAATTCAAATGGGAAGAATGGAAGATAGAATACTTATATTGCTTTTCAAACAGACATAAAATCACAGTTCATAGAAGGTTATGATATACATCTTTATCACAATCAAACAAGAATTCAACCTGCTTCAGCAGTGCAAAAAGCAGGCAATTCAAGAATTCCTCTAATTAAGGACATAAAAGGCAGATCATTTCAAGCTGTAACAAGAATTTCTGAAACACCTACCCCAGCACTAAGTGATAATATTCTGTAAGTGTTGGCAGAAACATGCCTTTAGAGACTCCAAAATCTTACGCTTAAAAAGATCTGAGCCTAGCAGCTATATGAGTATTTTAACAGAGTACGTTTGGTACCTCCCTGCCAAGATTCAAGTCTGATGAGATGCAACTGAAATGCTGAGTCAGCTATTCTGATATTACATATGGCTCAGCTGGCATCAGCTGTAGTTCTTTACATAGACGAGTTCTCAAACTCTCTGCTTTTGGAGTTTAGAGGCATAACCCTGGGGATGAAAGACAAAGCGTTTAATCTTGTTCCCAACATGACTTACTCTCATCTTGGGAAGTCCTTTAATTTTCTTCTGCCTTACTCTACTTACCGTAAAAAGAAGGAACCACCAGCAAATTTGCAAATGCTCTGGGGAAAGTTTAGAGTCCTTTTCATATTCCTCTAACCTTGTTATTGGCCTAACTTCCATGCTGCCTGTAATTGCTTCAAAACTCTTCTAACTCATCAGCTAACTCAAAATGCTCCAAATTCAGGAGACCATGATGCAAAGACCCCCTGACAGCTTCTCAACTCACATTCTCACTGGCCTGCCACCCCCCAGAACTGGCATGATGCTGGCACAAACAGGCACATACCAACTCTGTGCCACGTAGGAAAGAGAGACAGAGGAAATGGGTTCAAGACCAGATTACGCCACTGCCAGGGGTTCTGGATGTACAATCCATATACAGAAACTCCATTGAGGAGCAGATTTCTGTTGTTTCAGCAGCCAAAAGCCCTCCCCTTTACTGTACTGCCTTCAGGCCTTTTTTCTTCACCTTGCAGCATAGGTTGGGTCCTGACTGCCAACAACACGGGCTTAGACTAGGTGACAAGACTAGTGGCAAATTATTTGAGACACATAGCACTATCCCCTCTATAACCCTCCAGGGCTGAAATTTATTTTATGAATTTCATCCAGTCACAGAAAGTGAGTCAGTAGCATATGAAGGTACTTCTTCCTCTGAAGTTGCTAATGAAGCCACAAATCCTCCTAATATTGATATATATATGTAATCCTCTTACTAAAAGTTTCGCCTGATTAATCTCATCCTCTGAACAACATTCTAAAAATAATTCAATTTGGTGTATGTTTCTGGTACTGTCTGATCTCTTTTGTTTCATCAACTGTTCATCAAAACTCAAATTCAGAACAATAAAACATTTATGTAATAACTGTCACCATTTGTTACCAGTTCTTTCATATGCTACAATATTATCTTAAAAACCTGGAAACATGAACAGGTAAGAACTTTTCTTATGATATTATTGTTCCTGCATGTGTATATACAGTAAAACTGTTGTGGATTTTTGTCATTAACTCTGATGCCAGGAGTCAGTATTCTATAGGCATCGCACTAATGCAAAACACATTAGCACTATCATGGGCTATGGCTCCTGACAAAGTGTTTCCTCCACTTCAGCCTACTTGACTGAGTTCTCACCTTCATTTGTTTTTGTTTCTCTGTCTCCTTAATGCATTTTCAGCTGCCATCAGCTCTGCTCAAGTAGGATGTTTATTATTTGGAGCCCTCTGTGGGCTGTTTTAAAAGTCAGTAGTCGCCTGTTTCTATTATGTAGTTCATTAAATTATAGCATAAAGCATCTTTCTTCTTTGTTGACTCATCAGTGACACAGTATATCATCTTTCAAAGATTGTCTGAAGAATACAGAATGCTTAAGATATGTTAGAAAAAGATATTTCATCTCAAGATAAAATAGGTTTTGTTGATGTTGGAAGATATTCCAGGGCCAGTTCCAGTAACATCCTGAAGAGTTGTAATTGACAATAACTATAATTTACTGCAGACACTCTAACAACCAAAAAATTACTAAAACCAACACACAATTTAAGACCAGATAATATTTACAAATTAGACATTAAGCATAAACAAAAAAATATAGAGCTCTGTTGTTTCCAAAGGAGCCACACACAATCATTACTGAGTCTGATAAAACAGAGAAATACTACTTGGATAATATTTCAAGACCACAATTCCAAGAAAGGAACAGAAAAACCTGAGGCATGATCTGTAATCCAGCAGCATGCTGAAGTTTAAATAAGAATGAGAAGATAGAGCATGGCTAACTGGGTTAAAAAATTTAAAGATATTGATGGCAGTGCAAATCATAGAACCATAGACCAGTTTAGGTTGGAAGATACTTAAATATCATCTAGTTCAACCGGTAGAGCAAGAATCTGAGATCTGTAAACCCTGGGGTTGAAGGTATTTTCTGGATCGAGTATAGCTCCTTACTATACTTCTTACCTGGCAGAAACTAATTTTGCTTGACCTTACACCACAAGGTTTTAGTCACATTTCTCATAGTGGAAAGTTGTTTCAGAGCTTTGCTCTTCTGATTAAGTAGATGATTGCTCCTATGTTCAGTCATCATTCAGCACAACCACTCCTGCCTTAGAAGAGCTTAGAACAGTGACAGATATCCATACTGACCCTACAAAAAGTGAGATGTCTCAAAGACCTACCTATCAGCTGCTCAAAGCTGGCTGCAAAGTGGAAGAACCACAAAAGGCATGTTTCTGCTCCCAAATTTCCACTGCCAAATTTCCAGTTCCAACTCCAAAGTATGGCATTTGTCAGTGAAATGGTCTCCAAAACAGAAGGTTTAAAAAATTCATATATCTATTTAAATATTGACACTTACTGTTAAGATTTCAAAACCATGGTCAACAAACCTTTAAAAAAAGAGAAAGTAGTACACTTGGGAATTTAAGATACAAAACATTGAATTAAAAAGGCAACCCTTCAAACTACAATCAGCTTTTATTTGGGTATTCCCTGGTCTGTAAAGTACAGGATCTAAACCCTCAAGGTTTATGCAGCTTTCACTGAAGGGAGTGCTTTCTAAAAATTAAGCTCTGATACACATAAAATATAAAACAGGAAGGAAGTTTGGCTAAAATTATTACTGTGTTACAATATTTCCACCCGAAATAAGTTTCTTGAGTTTCTTTTATAAAACATACTTGTGAGTTAGACAAGACAACTTTTTTTGGGGGTATAGAAACTGATTACATTTCTAAAGCAAATGTAGCTAATAAATGACAGGCTCTGAGTCCAGAGCTTAAGCTGCAAAAGCTGATCTCTGGCTGGGAATAAACCTAAGATCCTAAACCAAGGAAAACTATGCTTCTAAAAAGTTACTGAAAATAGTGTTACCCATGGTATGTTTATTTACAACTACACTTGACAATCCTACAATCCTAAAGATGACACCAAATTATACAGTGGATAAATTTAGCAGTTTTTAATGAAGGTAATTCCCTCAAAATGATTCAGAATCATTAAACTGCAAATGCAGCTGAGTTATGTCATCGTGTAGGGGAGACATTCAGTTGACTTAAAGACAGACACTTGCATTTCTAAATCACTTGTTGCCTTTGCAAATTGTGACTTTTTTCTTTGCTTCTTTTTTTCTTTTTATTTAAAGCTTAGTCACATCTTTTCTTTTGAAGTGCAAGCTATTCAAGTCAGGAACTACCTCTTCCTCCTGGTCTGCAGAGTGTGCCTATTGCAATGGAACAACGACCTAACAAAAACTGTTTACCAATTATTTGTTGCGGTAATCTACACAAAAATTGTATTTTGCCAATTTCAGAAATGCTGAACAACTACTAGAGAAAAAATCACAGTAGGATAACCTTTTCCAACATAGATATTGATATTAAATTTATTTTCCTAGCTTTCACACTGTTGTACTTTTGCTAATGGTTAGTATCATATTAAGACACTGTTCATTGGTACTGGGCAGTTGGATGAAAGGATATATTTGATTACCTAATGGAAAGACTACAGGATGCACGAACAAAAGTAATTCAACCTTTGTGAGGAACAGGCTCACGTGTTTGGGCGCAGAAGGCAGCCGGCGTTCCCGGCAGAGGGCAGCAGCTGCTGCGCACAAGCGAGGGGAAGACTAAAAGGCAGCACTGTGGGGAAGGCTGGATCTCTCGACTCCCTTAGGACCTGGAAGATTACACATAAGGTACACTGTTGTCTACATTATTTATACCAGACTCAAGCCAAACTGTCACACTTATCAGTTTTCAAGAAAATTTTAAAAGGAAAGTGAAGACAGAGGACTGGCAGAGGGTGATTTTTTCTAAGGCATAATGAACATTGACCTTCATGTGTAAACACAGGGAAATGGGATATAACTTATATTTGCAGGATTGCTAGTTTATATAGAGGTATTTTAAAACCAAATTGATATGTACATTTTATTTTAAGAAGTATTTGTGTGATCTTTCATTCACACACTAACTCAATGAAAAAAATTAACTAATTATGTTTTGCAAGAATCTAACTCCATTGGTAAGTGTATCCCTCATTGTATAGACAGAGAAACTGGCAGAAAGAAATTAAAGGCCACAAAGAATGGGGAAGCTAATGTTAGCATTGAAATTCTACAATAAATAAGAACTATGAGTCCCTATTCTGCCTAGTGCCTCTCCCAGCCTTCTCTGGCTACATTTTTCATTTTATGGGGCCTTAGAAAAGGTGATAAAATAATAAACATTTTTGTGTAAACCAAGCACAGTCCTTCCTGGATGACTTTGCTGGAGAATCACATTTCCAGGGCTCCATTCTAGTGAGTAGACAGCTACTTTCATGCCATGACAAACACTATCATGTGCCACACTGCCACAGAAACCCTGGAGTGTCAAGTCTGAAAAACTGCTTCTCATTTTGCTCTAAAGCAACCAAAATAGATCAATATCCTCTCATCCAGCATCTCGTAGTATTCCACATGGTCAAATAGCCAGTAAAGAAAAAAAGCTAAGTGTAGGCATTTGACATTAACTAACTTAGCTAAAACTTGGGATTTTCCTCAACTGGGAATCTATGCTTTAAAAAGTGATGCACACAATAGTTTGGCAAGTCAACGGAATGTCATATCAGCATTGCACACGATATATTATCTGTATTTTATTTTTATAATCAATAATGGACAACTGGCAATTAACAGTATCTGATGCATTATTTTAGACAGAATTAAGTCTTTATATTCTTGATATGAAAAGGTTTAATGCAAACACATGAAACAAGAAACAAAAGACTGTAATACTAGAAAGGCACCAACTCTCTCTCTCAAGACCTTCAGGTACTAATTAAAAAGCAGCTACTTTGAAACTTGTGCTTAAGGTAGATGTTTCAAATAGTATCAGATTATCAGTTGCTGATTTGCTATATTCATCTATTATGTATTATCTGACATTTCCTGAAATCATGTGATATCAAAGTGGAAAATGTTTTAATATTTCCCTTTAAAATAGAATTTTGATTTTACTTTGATGAAGGAAACATCAGTGAATTTGAAGAGGTTTTACAGGCTGTTCATATGAAATATTTAATTACAAAAGTCACTAAGTCACTAAGTCTGAGAAATTTCAAACACATTGTCTTAATCCTACACCAACAAACATAGATTTCTAGGTCTATGTGATTATCCCTCTGGAATGCACTGTAACAATCACCCAAGACCAGACTAGAAGATACACTGTTGCAATGAAGTGAAAGTAGAGTCACTTGTGTGATAAATTATTTCTCAAACATAACAAAAGCATCTATGCTTTCACATTCTCCATTCAAGTTGACTCTTGCAAAACTTAAGTTCTTTTTTCTGGAACCCTTAGGGGTTACGCATAGCCAAAGGAATCAATTAACCAGGTTTTGAGTACAACATTGTCCACTCATGCTGCAATGATTACTGATACCCACATGAGCAGCAGTTTAAGACAGTTTCAGAAAACTCAAAAAATAATGTTGCAACTACAAGATAATATTGCAAGAATTCAGTGTAATCAAAAATAATTTCCCCAAACCCCCAAATCCCTTCATTACACTCACTTATCCCTCTACCTTAAACTAAAAAATGTTTTTGTAGTTATGAACCAAATGTAACAGAGGAAATGAGTTTAACCAAGTTAATTACATTAACTAAATCAAATTAGATGATATTTTGAGTTGTTCTGTCAGAAGATGTTGACAGTGTAATCTTTTTCACATATACACACACACACATACACACACTCTCACTACCTTGTATTTACTAGATGGGAAACATGTAAACAAGATTTGACATCCACCTTCCATGACAAAACTAGTTTTCATCTTGAAACTTTCCCATTCTGAATGGATGCCTCAAACTGACTTCATATGAACATGCATCTCTGTGTCAATGGAAATTTACTTGTAAAAGTTTCAGTCAATTACTGTATTTCTGAGAGTAACTTAGTTACTTTCTGACTAATTTGCTCCTCAAATTACTTTCCTTTAGCTCAATGAGAAGTTCTAGTGCTTCCATGACATAGACAAAGGCATGCAAAATTCTGAAGAAAGGTTGCTTGGTACCAGGGAAATGTCCTATATATGTCCCGTGAAATCCCCCTCGAATCCAAGGAAGTTACAAGCCTTGGAAAAACTCAGTCTGAACTGACTGTAACGATTCATAGTAGACTAAGTATTACCTTCGAAAAGCATGAGGGGGCTGAGAGCAGGTTATACCTCAGGATGGACTGGGGACATTCCCCTGACAGCTGCTTGAACTTGTTCACCACATGTGCAGGGGCAGTGACACAGCTTCCAGAGGGCAGCAGGGACCGACTCTCACATCCTTAGTTTCAAGACAATTTTAGACCAGAGGAGATAGTGAGGTACTTCAAGATCCTCCATTTTAGAGACAGCTAAGCCTAAAAACTAGTATGTAGCTCAAACACAAACACCTCCTCCTAAAATGACATCCAGTTTTGACCCGAAACACAGGACAAGGAGGCTCTGCCACTCTCTTCACTGTTTCAAATGTGTGAACAGGTGCTCTTCCTTTTTTATTTTTTTTTTTTAATTTGGATCTCTCTGTAGTCTCTGGGTTTTATTATGCTGCCTTCTGCTAGATTTAGGATCCTGCTAATACCCGGGGGTTTTTTTCCCTGTGAAAATAGCTGTATGTTATAAAATCATCTTCCAGTCCTCTTTCTGATAAGCTGAAAAAAACTGAACTGTAAGTCTGTCATCTGAGCGAACAAATGCTCCAGCTCAAATGATTTGTGGTTTCTTCAACAGCCCTGTCAGGTTTTTTAATGTATTTTCTAAAGTTTTCAGGTTAAAACCACACCTAACATTCTGCCATCAACCTGAGATGTTTCTAAAATTAAAATAAACTTCCTACCCTTCTATTTATTTCCACTCTACCCACCCTAGATGAAATAAGGTCTAAATGCTCTAACACTGGACCAGAAGCTCCTTTTGAGCTGCTTGTCCATTACAATCCTTAAATCTACTTCCAAGTCACTTTGCCTAGGGCACAGTCTCCTCCTCTGTTTGTGACTTGTGTTCCCAATTTCTACCTGGAAACTGTATGTTTGCTTAGATGTAAAAAAAGCAAAACAAAACAAACTCTCTTGCCCAAAAAAACCACTTTCCCCAAAATCTCCATTCAGATGAGAAATAAATCACACACAGCATCCTTGTATTCATTGCTCTTCCCCCAATACACACAGCACTCTGTATTTACAGCAAATTTGTATCAGCATTTATGATATATTCAAAGCTGCTGGGGAAAAAAACTATTATATTTGGCTTAGTATAAAAATATGCTCATTAGAATGCCACACTCAACCACAAACCTTCAGTAATAATTCTTTTTATATGTTAGTTAACTAACATAGCAATCCATTTAACGAATACTTCCTTGAGACTGCATAATGCTAATTCCCTAGGAAGAACAGCATTTTCAAAACTCAACTCCTCCTACAAAATCAGGGTGATTGGAGAATTAATTTCATTTCCATTCTTTAGTCATCTGCACGTATGAATCCAGAACCAGCTCCTCTATTACCCTTTCTGGACTAAAATCTTACCAACATCCGCAGTTATACCAGTCATCATGTGTATGTGCGAATTTTACTTGTTTATTTTTTAATACTGGCATACAGAGGCATCCTTCTAGTGATGTGGACTTGCTCTTGGACTCCAACATTTATCCAAAATAAAAAGGTAGTCAGAGATCTCACCCTAGTTTTCCAGGACTCAGTGATACAAAATATATTTGCAGGCTACTTTTAACATATGCTAACTATTAACAGACTGAAAATGATTTCACTACCCTTTAGTGAAACAGTATTCCACTCTGCTTCACCTAGAACACATATTTTTTGCAAAACCTTTTCCTTTTTCCACGTCATTATTTAAAGTTCATCCACCTCCAAGTAGGAATAAGCCAATAACATTCAGATAATATAAACCATATCAAAACTGCCATTTTACTTAACAAGTCTTTTATCTGAGAGACATGATATTTTCCCATTACCTTTATTTTATAATTTTCCTGCACTTCATAACTAGTTGCCATTCATTCCATATTATTTGATTCTGTCTCAACAGTGACACAGGAAATACTTTTCCTACCTTCCTCCTCAAAGAGTCCTTCTTTTTTGTTGTTGTCATTTACACTTCCCTCTCCAGTTAGTCATACTTCCCTTTTGCTTTTAAAAACTACTCTTCCTGAACAATCAAATATGTAACTTCACTGTTTGGAAGTATCTTTTGGTTTCAAGGAATGTTAGAAAATTAAGGAGAAGATTGTTGCTGCACAACACAAATTTCTAGATGAATTCATCAATTTAAGTTCCCATAAAGCTGTTCCAACCAAATGACTTTGTACTGGATGTATTGCATTTTATGCTAGAAAATTATCATTTGCAATTTTAGGGATAATTACATTTCACCTTCTTCTGTGCTTCATCTACAGCATAAGATTCCCATACAATGGTGTATTTTTATGCTTTTTATAGCCACATGCTCAAGAAGCAATCCACCTCATTCTCCATTTGCAAGAGATCCCTAGGAGTACTACCCTCTTGGGTTTGTTAATTAGCAGACTGATTGATATGTATTCAAGAACCCTGTATTAATTAACTTTAAGGCAGGTACCAATATCTTTAATGTTGCACATTGTCTTCCACCTGTTTCAGCCACTCTGTTCTTAAGTAGGCTGTAAGCACTGATTGCACATTATTATTTTATGAATTGTCCCACAAGGTTTCAATAATATCAGTTATATCTCATTTTTCCCCATTAATGAGAATTTACCATTTATCATGCTTGTCACCAGGTCTTACAACTGATATAAAACCAACTGCAAATCTTGTTTTCAGTTCTGTTATCATTTTAATGGGCTCCTACTATAGTAACTTTAAATGTCATTTATCTACCTAGGAGGCTTTGCTTGGGCTGAGCCCAGGGTGGGCTAAGCTCCACCCTGGTTGCTACAGGCTCCAGCTAGGAGCCTCATGTCTCCTTATACAATCTGCCTTCCCATGGGACTTTTTCCCCATGTCCTGCACAAAGAAACCTGCAGATTCACTCCACGCAAATCCAACAAATTCCCCTCCAATACTTTCTTTTGTGGATCTTGCTTTTCATTACCTCTTTTTCAGCCTCCTACTTTCCTTTTTCTTAAGAGTAGCACTTAGGATGCCTGTCAACTTACCCACCATTTGGCTTCACAAGAAGGAGAAAATACCTATGTCCCCTAAAGATTTGTGCTTTATATTTCCACAAATCATTCCCACTTCCCATTCCAGCTTACTGGAATATATATGAATGACTTTATACTTCCTGTTGCGTGGAATGTCTCCTGGCTTTGGGGTATTTTTTGCTATAAACCACTGGGGCACTCTTCTGGATCCTACCTATGTCTTCTGTGACATGAGTGGGAGCAACTCTGATGGTTTAAAAAAGACACTACATGTTTAAGTTTTTCCATCAAAAAGTTAAAGACTTCACAGAAAAAAAGGAACATGGTTTCATGGTTTGACAGCTGAATTCTGATTTTTTCTTTTGTCTTTTAGGAGATTTTAATGGCAACAGGGTGGGCAAACAGAGCAATGGGGCAGGCAAGATCCTAAATGCACAGGGCTGTTAAACAGTGTTTAACATTTCATAAGGATTCTCTTTACTTGTTCTGAGTGCAAACCAAGCCCCTCAGCTCCATTACGCCAAGAAGACCTGAACTCCACGTAATACTTGAAGAGCATCAGAACCTTCAGACCCAAAGTAGTGGCCATTCACATGTGACCTATCAGAGCACTTCTACTTAGAAGCAACCTACCATCCCATTTAAGTACATAAGGCATTTACTGGACTAAAGGATTTTAAAAGTACCTGCTGACAGCATCACTTCCAGCTATTTTAAGAGGCACAAGGAAGAAAAAGTCTCACAACTTCTAGTGAAAAGCAAGCTGTTCTACCCATGACATACCTCCATTCTTACAAATGGCTAACTGGTTTTGTCTGAAACTGAAAACCAACAGTCTGAAACCTACAGTCTGAAACTTAACCAGTGACATTTCCATCCAAATAGTTATCAACTTGGTAGCTAGAAGGAAGTGAAAGCACAATGTTATCACCAAAAGACTAGTCAGCATCCTGAATCAAAAGTGCCATCAGCCCAGTTTAGGGTTGTGATCATTTAACAATAACTTTGTACATCAGTAGAGAGGTCACTAAGTACAGTGCAACTCCTGGGGAACTGTCTTCCAACCCACTGGGGGTCATATACAAACAAAGCTTTCCAGGGATCACATCCCACATGTTTAAGTAGAGAATTTGGCAATATTTACCAAAATCTGGCGTATTTTGAGAAGTCCTGGGACTAAACAGCCCTTGTACACATAGTTCAAACTAAGGCATGCAACAACAGTGTTACTGTAGTGGTGCCAGGATCACTATTCATTTGCTTGAGCATCAACTTAAACTCCAGATTTTAAAAACAGTATTTGAATGCTATTTACATACTGATATGTTATGACCACTAATATACCAACAACAATGATGTTAGTCCAGGTAAATATTGCAGTAGGATTTTTGAAGACAATCTGTGATACACCTAAGAGTGAATTTACTGTATCATTAAAAAGAAAATTATTATTGTTCTTTTGCCAAGGGTGCAGGTTTTTTTCCTGTTAAATTAAAAATCTTTTTGCCAAGTTAAAAAAAAGTCTTTTTAATTTAGTTCAACTTGGGAAAATAGTGAGTTTGTGTGTTTTGGATTCTTTTTTCTTTTTTTTTTTCTTTTTTTTCTTTTAAACTGTGAAAAGTCTGAGCATTAACTGATCTAGATTGGACTGGGTACTTACTCTGTCGCATAGCTCTTCAAACGTGAAGTCTGCAATGGTTCCACACGCTTTATTCAGCCTCAGCTCTCTGCCTTGCACTTTTAGAATCCTTGGTCTAGTTACTATGGGAACATGAACAAAGACTCAATCTTCTCTGGATAATTACTATAAAATTCATCTCTTACAGATAGGAAATGCATAGCTTCATGAATAATAGCACATGATTCAACACATAAATTAGACAAAATGCTGATACAATGACTGCCACTTGAGTGTGGCATCAACCCATATACAGCAATGGAACTTATTAATTGGTCAGTGGAGATTGGGCATTGTGTTCTAAATGTATTCTCTTTCAAGAGAAATTAACTTACGTACAATCATTTTGTTTCTGAGCCAGCTCATCAAACAACTTATCCATGACAGCCTCCACATCAGCTTCACTTGTGCTACAGTGAAAAGAATAATAGAATATGAAATTAATAACACTTGAAGCCAACATCAAACAGCTGCCTGAGCCTGCTTAGCTTTTTGCCCATAAAAAAAGGGAACAGGATGTTATGCTCTAAATACAAACATTACATTTAGAATACACTTAAAAGTAGAGAATATTAACTCTCAGGTAGATGATTCTGCCTTATTTGCATACACTGAAAGACTTCTGTGTTCAAGCTGTTTCCAGTAATGAGGCAATACAGACAGAGCAGATCCATTAACACTATGTGTACACAATAAGAAAAAAGGCTTCTGGCTCTATCTTGCATGCAAAATAAGAGCAAATAGACAAGGCAAGGCAGTCAAGCACCCAAAGAAGTATTCTTTGAAATTCCTGAGAGGGGACTTTGTGAAATTAAATGCTGAAGCACCTTCTTCTTTTTTGGGGGGGGGTTGGTGTCAAGGTCAAGTCAACTGATTGTATTGATCTAACAATCTGCAAAATTAAACTGTGAAATTAAAAATACCAGTATAATTTCTGCAATAGTAATTTTATCAGTTCCCCCCCCAAACTCTGTCCCCAAGACAGAGGGTGAAAATGCAAAATACCTGTGCTGAGAGCTGAAGTTTATATTCATCTTCTGGTTGACACAAGAATTATAACTCAGTCCAATCAGAGAATTTTTTTTTATCACTGAATGGGTTAGAGAGCAAATCTTTCCATGTTTCATTCTTAGAGATGGATAGATACAGCGAGATAGATCATATTTCTAGCCAAGAATAGTAAATTAATGCTACTGTAGACAACAAACTAAAACTAGGATATATAATGCTTCATTGACATTTGTACAGTCTCTTTTGGTGTGGAAGGTCTATTGCTTCATACAGTTCTAGACACCCTCTATATGAAAAATGAAGATCAGCGAGTGACACAATTATTCTCCTTATTAGGCCTTAAGCACCTTAAAAATACTAACAGCAGAACTAAAATAACTACTTTTTAGCTCAAGCTTAACAATAACAAGTCTTGTAGATACAAAGAATCTGGGGGAAAAGAAAACCCACAAACTTCTGTAAATGCAGAACACTTTGAAAAACCGTTTCTGACTAGCAGATGATATAAAATTCTACAAGTTTCTCTCAACATTGATATTTGCATGCTGCTTTCCTCTGACAAAATGACAAATGAAAATGAACAGACAAAAACAGAAAAAAGACCATAGAAGGGAGGAAAGAGTGTATATATCTGTATCAGAGAGTATGTCCATATGCATGCATATCATAATCAAAAAGTTCGATGGAAAGGCTACAACAAGAAACAGCTGAATATGTTGCACCTAATTGCCAAGAAAGTTTGTTTTGAAAACAGACACCCGAGACTGAGATCAATGAAGTTGCTTTGATCAGGCATCTTGTAATGGTGTTACACTGATGGCTCTCAGATGAGTATGAAACAGCTTTAAGCAACTCTCAGTTGCACATTTTAAATGAAGACAAGACTACACAAAATATGAAGCATCAAGAGGATTCTTAACAAAATGTGACAATAATACTATGACCCTTAATAGAGGAATGAAAACATGTTAGACAAGAACAACTTCTTTTGGGGACAAGACTGCTAACTAAATTTCAAAGATCTGTAGCAAAATACTGTATAGTACCTAATTTTAAAACAAAGCTAGTTCTGCAGTGTTGAAAGCTCCAGAGAACAAGTCTGAATAGAAGAATGAATGAGATTCCCTCAGAAAAAGAAAGGATGATGAAATAAGTATCTTATTCCATTGGCAGCTACAGGATTTTTTAAATTATTTTTTCCCCTCAGTGCTCCCTAATGATTTACACATCAAATTCTGAAGGTAACCCACATCCTTTCAATAAGAGAATACAAGACAGACATCTCCAATCTCTGCCATTCACTTGATCACAAGTTTTACAGTAGATCACCATGAAATATATTTCAGCTGGGTACTAGTCCTGCAACTTGTTTGTATTTCTTCTCCATTGAGAGCTGCTGCCACAGGCCTATTACCTGCTAGAAACCACCAGTGTGCTCTTGCTTTCTTCTGAGCATGGACATTGAAAAAAGAATACAGCAGGTGCTCTCCACAACTGTCAGACAAAGTCACAGAGTGCAGCAGGCACAGGAAGCAGTGCCGTGAGCAGGGACGGCGGCAATCGGAACAAGAGCCACGATGAGCATATCAGTGATATCAGAGCTATCAGTGGCGGCTTCAAAAAGTACCTCTAAGGCAGACACGGCAAAGCTTAGAGAAAGTGGAGCCAAACAAGAATACGGAACAAGAGCTACTTTTCTTGAGTTCATACAGTCACAATTTGTTTGAGGATACAGAACCTGCACTGGACCTGTTTTCCATCCATAAAATTTTGTCATTTCCTTCCAGAAGCAGAAAGAGTTACCTGTTGTAACTCTTCTAAGCATTATTCCTCCTTCCTACAACAACTATGATATCTAACTTTATAATAAAGTGACATGGACATACTTGGTCTCAAATACCTATCACAGTGATAAAAATACCACACCTTTCTTAATGGAAGCATGATCAATATTATATGCTGGGTTGAAAGCTAGAACAGTTATAAATCTCATACTAAGCTATTGTTGTCTGCTTTGTTCAGGTTGTCACTGATTGAATAATACTACAAGAGCAAATACAAGACAGAAAAACGTTTGTATTGCAAAGGTTTCAAGGCATTTTTTTTAAAAAAGAGAGAATGTTCCTATTAGGCAGATTTATGCTGCAACCATAAGCATAACTGTGAATATCTTTTAAAAATTATTTATTTGCAAATATAAAGGGCTAAAGAAATTTTGTCATGACAAACAGAAACAATCTGTCAAAACAGGAGGGTGTTGGGATTTTTCATCGACAGCACTCAAAACACCCAAAATTAAATGAATCCTTGTCATTGGATTTCTATAAATACTTAATTACTTAAATACAATAAGGATGTTCTTCTATTATAAGAGAATTGTGCAATCTCTCACAAGAGGATATTCATTACTTTCTAACCATCTGTCACTTCAGTTCTCCAAACACCACACCTCCCCAAAAAATCTAATTAGTTTTTATTCAGTCACACATTATAAATCATGCTAGTGTGGATACTGAAAATATAGTTTAATGAAGTTAATATCAAGGCATAATGGAAGGCGGTTTGCTGAACAAAATGGACCAGAAGGCAAAAAAAGGAAAAGTCACACCCTGCTAATTCTACTATACATTTTTCATTTCCCATTGACTAGGAAATTGTTGGCTAATAAGAAGGAAAAAGAGAGCAAATACAATATCATAGATAAACTTACAGGTAGTAAAGTTTTCCAGCAGCTGGAAGCACTCGTTTCCTGTAGTCTATGCCAGAATCAAGCTGGACTGTGTTGCAGTATTTCTACAGAGACCAAGAAAAAAAAAAAAAAGAATAGCTTTCCTCAAGCCAAAGCTGTATTTACTATTGTCTGTGTTAGAGAGAAGACACACTGCTGTGATAAACCAACAGCATAAATATAATTTGTGAAACTGAAATTCAAGATCACAAAATTGAAGTCTCCTTTGCAATTATCAAAGCAAAGAAATAACCTGGAAATCATTCACATATTCAAAACAAAAAAGTAACTATTTTCACAAGTCCATCAGCTAGAAGATTTATATAGATTAGAAGCACATGAAATGCAGGTGAATATTATTTGTTCTCTCTGGATACTGCTTTGTTGGGGGAGTGTGCAAAAATAATTATTTCCACATTAAAGTATATATATTTAGAAATACAAAATTAGTAGCATTAAGAGTTTAACAGACTACAGACAAATTCTAGCAACAAATGAAACTACTTCTATTTTATAAGCTAAAAATAATTTTATCTTTTTCCTCTTACTAATAAGATTAAAAATTTTGCAAGTCAGACATCAAATATATGAACCACACCAGTCTGGCTTCAAAATGGACCAAAGCATAAAGGGGAATAAACAAAGTTCTATATCAAAAAGATTTTGCTTTATTTTTGCAATATCTGCATTGACTCAGAAAAGCATCTCTTTTGTTCCCCTTTAAGCCACCTGTAAGATTACAAGTGTGATATGGATCTCTTAAGTAGTCACAATTAATTGCTTCTGTTAGAAAACTCAAACCCAGCTGTAGCAAAGGGTGCTTTTTTTGATTCAAGTCCTGAGGCTGAGAGCAAAATTCTCACTAATATCAGCGGGATCAAGATTTTACACCCTCTAGAGAAGGGAATAACTCTGCTTATCTGTTATGACTACTGCCAACATACACAACTTCTGTGTGTTATATAGCTAGAAGCAAAAGAAGCTACAGAAGAAAGGGAGGAAAAGTTTAAATGTTTTCGAAAAAGATAACCCTATCAAAAATTCAATCAAAGCAATTAATTTTTTTTAATGTAATTCAACACCATTAAAAGTCTTTGGATTGCTAGAATGCACTAAATCACTCTGCTTCTTTGCTGCACTATGAACTATTAGTTTATCTTTAATACCCTTGTTAAGCATTTCATATTCTACGTGTCAAACTTTTCAAAGCCTCCTTGAGGCCATTCAAATAACAAAATTGGAAATGTCAAACCTCATTTATAGCAACTACATTGCAGGGAAAAAATTTAGAAGAACTATCATCAGTGATTTAAGGAACAATGGTCCTTTTGAACAAATGCGTTGCATAGGACATTGCAGGAGTGACTGTGATGACGCATTGCACTAATTTTTTGCCCTTGGCTATTACTGAAGGCTCTGTACCGATTTGAAACCTCCGCCTTCTTCACACAGACATACAGATGAAGAAAGAAGGTGAAAAAAAAATCATTCTGAAAGCACAGAATCCCAGGAAAATCCACGTATCTTTAATTCCAGTAAGTGAAAAAGCCATGCTAATCAAATCGTTATCTTGGACTAAGGCTACTGCAAACACAATAGCGTTGGTGCTACAATATTATTATAATCTATTCCCTTTCTTTTTGTGAGAGCTCACAAAGAAGGAGAATAACAGAGCAGAAGAAAAAAGTTTCAGAGGCATGTAATAATATGCACAAGGGAGGGAGGATGTTTAAGCTTTTCTTCACCATCAGTCTGGCAGCCAAAGCTAAAAGGAAGATTACTGAAATTTCACAGCAAAGCTAGTGCACTTTGCTTTTCTTTGCCAGTATCTTTCCACCTAATGTTTTATTTTTCCAAAGTAGAAGATTAGCTTAAGTACTATTTTCTTTATGCTAGTAGGGGAAAAAAATGCAGATTACTACTACAGCTTTGGGGACTCTGAGATTACTTAGATTAACTTTAGATACTCGGATATTTAGTAATGCTGTTTATAATTTTGGGGGTTTTCTCCTGGAAACGAGATCGGCAATCTTGTGTGAATTCTGCCTCATCTCTTTGGCCTTCAAGATGGATTTACAAACTCTGCTGCTCCCTCAGTGTGTTGTGTTGCATACAGTGAAGAGCAAACACAGAACTACATATAGTTTAGAGTATTCCATGGTTATGGTAGGATTGAAAGAAATAAAAATTACACCTGAACACTGTAGCTCATGTAAATTTGTTGCCCTGATATTTACACTGGTGTGTGTGGTTCAACTGCTAATGACTGCTGAGTGGAGCAGGAGTTTTGTGCACTCAAATACAGACTGGTACTGGGCTATATTATGCAGGTCATTGCAACTTGATGAAATAGAAATCAACACTTGGTTCTACAGTATTTTAGTCCACCTGTGTTCCACTCACAAACTTGTCACTCCTTAAATTCACAGACAGCCTTTTATGACTCCATGATTTAACATTACAGTGAATGAGTTTTGGAGTTAAGAACTGTAGATGTAAATACTACCAATACAGCTACAAAGAAGATGCATTTTTTCTGTCTTCCTTCTCTTTCTCTTCACAGTAATTAGTATTATCACTATTCAAGAAAAATCACTATCATTAGTGACACTAGTCAAGAAGAGCTTGTGTGTTCAAAAGCTTATTTATGTTTTTTGGCCTTTTTAAAGCTACAAACAGTTGCCTAACTGAAAGATATTTCTCTTCCCTATAAATCTTGCTTGTTTGTCTGCACTGATGCACTACTATTGATTCTAATATGGTATTACATTATATAGTTTATTTCAAAAATATCTGCTAGATATTCTAGGCTATAGGACCTTTCAGCCAGAAGTGCAATAGCAGAATCTTGTTCAGAGATCTATAAAATAAAGTTAATACAGTCCCACTGATTTTTTGCTTCCTTAGGAGGCAAAAGTTAACTGAACCAAACATAAACAAAATGGAAAACCAGAACCCTGAGGTACAGCAGTTTGTGTAATACACAATATAGGCATAGAAGCAGGGGGCAGCTAACAGGAACAGTGAAATACTTAGTCCTTTTTAAAACATTTGGCATTTTATTCTCCCACTCCTTAAATGTTCCTAATTAATTTATGGTTTTGTCCTCTCCAGGTTGATGCTCGGTTCAGGAAGGTACTGCAGCCATTTAGAGACCATATTCTAAATAAAAATGAAACAGCCACAAGAATCTCCTAAGCCTTCTACATGTTCATGTAAGTATTTACTAATGCTTGTCGTTAACTAGTTTCACTGAAACACTTCAAAGCTCACCCACACCTATTCTTTTAGACATGGTATAAATATACATAAAATGAACAGCTCCTGCTATTAAACCCAAACATCATAATCTGCATCGCAATATGCTCTCAGAAAACATTGCTTTAAAACATGAATCCTGCTGTTAGATTATAAGCTTTGCAGGGTAGGAACAACCTTCTGTTATATGAATATATGACAAATAGAGATCCATAGGTGCTAATGCAAAATAATGTAACAAAAAAAAAAATTACACAGAAGTGGGCAATGCTATTTACACAAATTGAGCTATACATAGTAGAGGAGAGAAAAGTTGTGACAGCAGTAGCAGTAAACCGAAGGGCAGTAATGGGAGGACTGCTTGCACTGCCAGATGATAACAACACCATCTCTCCTCTAAGTTAAGAATGTACCGCTGCAGATAGTTCTAAAGGAGGATTCAGCACATGGTCACCTTTACTCAGAGTCAGAAAGGTCACAAAGAAGCTTTGTGCAGAGCAGAGATCCAAAAATTTTTCCTTTAGAATTTTCCTTTGTAGACAACAGTACCGACAATGGTTTTCTGTTTCTGCACACATTCACTTATCTGCTTCACAGGAAGGCAGAGGACATTGTACATTATTCTTTTAAGATACATGCTTTCAGTGTTAAAAAGACAGCACATAATCAGAATGTATAACAGAAGAAAATAAGACACATGAAAATATTGTATACGTCCAAGCTAAACACTTAAAACCCTAGATTTACAAAAAGGAAAACCAGACACATGGTTGCACAGCGTGGAAAAAGAAATCCTGCTCACAAGTGTAAGAATGCTGAACATCAGAGAGTATGCCTGTGTGATTATCCCTGTGCGTTGTCTTTCCCCGTCACAGGTGTTAACAATATTATTCTCCCGCATCACAGAACTAAGCAGTCAATATTACAATTTAAAAATCTGCAAGTTTAGGGAGGAGGGAAAAGGTAGGCTTCTCTACTTTTTGTCCTTCTTCTTCTTCTTACAGCAAGGGGAAAAAAACTCATACAATACTACATATAGAAGTTCTAGTTTCTCTCTTATCTTCGGACTGCCTCATCCAGCACCGGACTGATTAAATCCTACAGATGTGATTGCATCCTCATACTCACTAATCACCATGGAATCCTAATCAACAGCCACAGAACTAACTGGAGTGCTCAGATTGTTAGCACTTAATTGTCAAACCCACGACTGTAACCATTGGTTTCCATTTCTTAAGATGGAGTTTTAAAATTTCAAATTTCATTCACTTGGGCTAAACTTCTTTTGAAATAAATACTTATTATTGAAGCTACAGTGAGTCTAGTAGAACCATCCATAGTTTCCAAAAGATTTTCTGTTCTACTGAGATATTTAAAAGTCTGACTTACTCTATTCAATTCAAATGCATAAAATTAATTAGTCATACAATTTATTTTGAAGTCATTTATGTATTTATGGATACAAAGAACAAATACAATTACATAATTGAAAATGCTATTAGTAAGTTAAAAATACAGTGTGAGCATGCACTCATTTCCACTGAAGTGGCATAAAAACTTTGTATTCCAGAAGGAAAAAAAAAGGATAAAGCCTCAAGGCTCACCTCAAGACACAACATCAAAAACACAAATCTTCAGACAGAATAGATAAAATCAGACAGTCAGTAGACCGACTGTAGGAAGTATTAAATACAGACTAATATAAATACATTTTTCTTCCCGTGAGCACTTGTAACATTCCTTTATTGCTGCAATCAAGAATGGTAGCTACTAAATTGTTTAACTGCTCAAGAAAACAAAGTACACG